GTTCACTGGCAACTCTTCTTTCTTTATGGCAACTTGAATCCTACGCACACTTTTAGGAGTGTCTGATCTAAAGTGTCTTCTCTCTGTCCCCTGGCGTGCTGTCCGGGTGTGCGAGAGGGACACTGTCACCGACACGGCTGCTCCTTGCCGGGCTTGCTCCACACTTGGAGGGAGGAATGGGAGTGAGTCTTGATTCCGGAATTACGCGTGGAGTGAGAGGTCCGGCGTGCTCCGCGGGAGCAGCGGCTGTGCGCGCGCGGTGTGTGTGTGTCCGATAGAGGGCGCGCGTGAGAGACCTGCGGAGGGAAGATGGTACTCCAGAACCCCCCCCCACACACACACACACACACACACCTTCTCAGCATCCTGTGACTGGTGGCGTTCATGTGGACCAGGTGGAGAAGTTTGGTCGGGGCCATTTAAGAAGCTAGAGGCTTCTGTTTTCTATTTGACCAAGTCAGACATCATTAATTTAAGGTGGGAATACAGAATGAATGTCAATGATAGATCTTAGAACATATTTAGATTATAACAAAGTCTAACATTAACTAACAGCATTATTGTTACATGGTTATTTTCTAATGAAGCACACTATTCTGCACAATATGTAGAACACAAGGAAATTGCCATGGGCCATTAGTAGTTTATCTTACCAAATAAAATAAAATAAATTACTCATTTTTTGTTGTCAGAAAGTAGTACAAAGACAAAGACATGTTGCTGCATTATATTATCTTACATCGTGATGTCATCTGAGTTGGAGGTCACTCAGCCCATGCGTGATCCAAATCCCTATTGTATGTGTTATGACAGAACTCCGGAAAACAATCATTATTTGAATTTACTAATCGTGTAAAGGTGCAGTATTAAATAAAAGTAATGCGTCAACATATGTAGCAGAATTTGAAAGAGTGTTTGTCAGTTCAGGATTGAGTTTAACAGGAATCAGGAAACATTTATTGCCATAATATGTCAGACATACAAGGAATTTGACTTGGTGGTTGATGCGTAACAGCAGACAGTATGACAATGGACGACAAGACAACAGTGCACGAGGAATGAAATAAAATATAATGCTGTGGGTTATTAGTATAAGGCTATGTGTTAGTTTAACAATAAAGGAATCCAAGTTAAAGTTAAAAAATAAAGTGCATAATAATCTATTGAACTATGAACTAGGGGAATGTCCCGTCATATGGAATAAAACAGCATTAGAACCCAAATGTGTGTCTTCGATGAAGATCACATTCTATGATGCTCAACTTGACCCCTAAATTGATATTTCCTCAAAATCTTTTCACAAGGTGAACAAGGTGTCCCTTGTGCGTCCTTTCTGATTCAAATTCTTGCAATGATCCGATTAGAGGAAAACAGAGGCCAACCTTCAAGACGTGTTATAAAAAAGCCACGTGCTCTCACACACACACACATTTATTTCAGCTCCGATGAACCAATAACAATACCTTACTTTGATTTATGCAAAAATGTGTTACAATTTAGTCTAATCTGAGACGGCAGAGGCAAACAACTGGAGGGTTTTCTCAGAACAATGTCGGACAAAGGGACGGAAAACCAACTAATGACAAAGTCAACCAATGTCATTCCGCCGTTGTTCTAGCATGTACAAACACGTGGTGGTTTCACTTGCACCAGCACTTTCCATTGCTCATTAAAATTTGGCCAAATTGAACTGGGTCTACATTTAGCCTTGGAAACGACCTTGTATTTATGGCCGCAGTTGTTGTTCTTCACAAGTTTACGAAACAATGGCTGAAGCGTTTCATAGAAGCGCCACATGTTTTTTGTTCGTGGGTTTTAGGTATTGTCTCGGCTGCGACAGTTGCTGCCAGGAATGCATGAATACCAGTCTGAGCCGAGCTGTCATGGGAATTCACGAGAATGTAAACTCCTCCGATTGGGTGGAGAACTGAATGGATAGCATCATTGTTTGCACTCCCCAATGTAGAGAGAGAGAGAGAGAGAGAGAGAGAGAGAGAGAGAGAGAGAGAGAGAGAGAGAGAGAGAGAGAGAGAGTATTTGTGAGTATGTGATTGAGGGCTGTGTTTTAGGTTCTTCATAGACACAGCCCCTAAATCCTGTTCACCAAATTGGCTCATATCTTATCTCATCAGCACCAGCCTTTGTCTTCCTTTGTATTGATTTCAAACTGTATTTAGCTTAGAAGTGGATGATCAAATAATCAATGTTGCTGTTTTCGTCAGGTTTAGAGGTTTGTACAACTGCCACTTGGACGAGCTGAAGCTGGACACTTAGGACTCAGACTTTTGTCTGCTTCAAACATATATATCCATTATTTTTAGCTCACCATTTCAACCATTTATCCATTACTTCTGCTTACCTTTCCAACCGTGTATCCTTTGCTTAGATAACCATTTACTTTCCCTACTGCTTGTTAGCTTCTGTTCGAGCCTCATCATCCCAACATGTGGTTTTCAGTTGGCTCAATATGTTGTTAGTTGATTCTTCAAACAAATCATGATTTCCACTTTTGTCAAAGTAATCGAGCCGCCGAAGTGCCCTTGTTTTGGAATCAATAACAACTTCATCTGTGAGGACGGAAACAAGTCTGTGCAATGTACCTCCGACTTGACTTTTTTTCTGCCTGGTAACCTTTCACACGCTTAGGCCGCTTTCATCGCGCTCTCAAAGCGAGGTACCGCGGGGCTTTGACATCTCACTGATTGGACAGGAGGGGAGTTGCTTCAAAATGTACAAAAGACGAGGATCAAAGGATTCCATAGCTAGGCCTCAAAGGTTAAAAAGATGCCACACCGTTTCAGCGTATCACTGAAACGGTGTTTTCCCAACAACACACGCTGTGCTGTCGAATAAGGGGACGTTGACGTTTCACTGTCAACATCAACAATCCTGTCAGCCTTCGGAAAATCTGTTCTCACAGATATCTCTCTCCACGGGAACACTTTGAATCAATTGAACACAAGAACAGTGAGCTACATAGCAAGTTGTGGTAATTGGCATAAGTGGCAGTATAGTGCTGCTTGTCAATAATGAAAATCACCTCATCCTGCGTGAGGAGTCTCAGCGGGACTGAATAAATCACAGAACTTGTCCCCGAAAAAAAGTGTTATTAAGCTTCTCCTCATGTGGCCGCCAAACAACAGTGATTTTAACGATTAGATCCAATCTGATTATTCCGTGCCTCGATTGTCAAAAGTTCAAAATGAGGTTGATTAGCCGTCCTTCATTACGGGAAGTCACTGCCGGTGATGCTAAACTGTTTTTCTAAGCTTTGGACTATTAATGCAGAAAAAACCTTTGAATGAAGAACAAGGGTGTCAATCTGTGCTCGTCCAGTTGCTTTATTTTGCACACTGTCTCATTATAAAGTAAAGTTATCGGAGCACGGAGCAATTAAATAGCTTTGTAAAATCCTACAAAGCCTGCTAAGTGCAGTCATGGGTGATCCCGGGTGTACAGCTGACCGCTAGTGAGGGAGAATCCTTTAGTGGAATGAGGGGGGGTCGGCAGACTGCAAGGCTTCGTTTTAAGTCATTGTCAAAAGTTTGTGTTTACTTTCAAAAGTGGTTCCCTGACCCTTTGATTATGAATATATATATATATATATATATATATATATATATATATATATATATATATATATATATATATATATATATATACTACATACATGTACACATACATTATTACTAAAATAGTAACACCACCACAGAACACCTGAATTCAGGTCATCTGACTCACATTGATGCATTACCTTTAGAGGGGCTTTATTTGACAGCATGTCCCATGATCACTATCTAGGACAAAGACTTATTCAGGAGGCCTTCATCCATCATGAATGCATGGGTTGTTGATACGTGTGTGTGAATGCGTGTCTGTGTGTGCGTGCCTAAGTGAGAGAGAGAGAGAGAGAGAGAGAGAGAGAGAGAGAGAGAGAGCATTCACTTTGACTAAAGTAGTAACAGGTACACACCAACAGAGGTCCCCTTTCTGCAGCGCCTCCACTCCTCACTGTGAGCAGTCAGAACTGTTTATGACAAAGCTAAATATTTTGATATTTAAACCAAAGTACATTTTGACACCAAGTCTACACCCGCTCAGTTTAATTTAAAGCAGCAGTCCTGGTGGTATAATAACAGAACAGAGGTACACACTTACATTTAACCAGGCATACCCGTCACATGGTCAAGCTGCCCTTCTGCAGAAGAAAAATCACTACAAGCACCTCATTCTTGGTTGACGGGGTAGAAGTGTACAGTGCTTTGGATTAAAACGTGTTTTTGATGCTGCAGTATGTGATACTTAAAATTAAGAAAAGATGAGGAACCATTTTTCATCCTATTGTTTCAATTACGTGTTTCCTTGCTGATCTACGAGACAAATATTAATCAATTGTTGTGCTTATTTTTTCTTTAAGTACATTTGGTAATTGCTAATCAAAATTAGCAATACCTGCACATGTGTAAGAAATAATCAAAAATGTCCAAGCTACCTGAGCTTTAAAAACATTGATTGTTTTAAAAAAAAAAAAGTTTTTAATTGAATTGAATAATTTGTTCCACAGTAGTCCCCGCTTTTAGAGAAACAATTTTCAATCAAGTTTTTTTTTTTTTTTTCATCGCTTCAAATGCTTTGTGTGACACCCGACAGCCTCAGAGGAGCCATCGCCCCACACGGCACTGCTCTGATCTGATGGAGTGGAACAACTATTAATCAGATTTTAAGTCCCAGTTGTGTTGTGTTTTATTATTTTGCAGATCTTAAGCCCCCCCCTCCTTCATTCTTTCCACTGACTTTACACACCGGATCCCCATGACCTGAATTCAACAAAGCGGCTGGTGATGTGCAACCGAATTTACCCCCCATGCTCCCTCTCTGCCAGAGGCCAAACCAGATCAACTGACCGGTAATCAGCCCCCAAATGTAGACCTGTGTGAGCCAAGTGACTTGTCCTGAACCCTTTGCTGTAGATTAACAAATGTTTACACATGACACAGAGGTTACTTTAATTAGTTTTTAATTTAACCCAGCTTTCACATTACACATTAAAAAAACAAACAGGAAATCACAGTACCAATGAGTGCTGGTAATCATTTTTGTTGACTGATGGTATCTTAATACGATAATGCCTTTCAGGGCGAAAGACATGGCTCACAGCATGACTGCCACGTGCCGACTGGTGCCAACATCCCATTAGGACTCTTTTAGATGCAGACTCACGCATGTACACACACACACACACTCACACACAAATGCACACACAGCAGGAGTCCCTCACGTGGGCTTGAGGTAGTTATAGAGGGCACTGAGTCCCCCTTGCAGCACCTCCTGGATAGGCTTGAGGAGGGGGTTGTGGATGATATGAAGGCCTTTATCCATTGGGTGGCAGGCCAACCTGCCGAGCCTGCTCAGTAGGTACATTTCCATCGGCACATTTTGCAGATCATTGAAGTCAACATTGAGAAGTTCTAAAGACTCCATGAAGCACAGCGTCTTAGGCAGTGAGTGGATACTGTTTCCCTCCACGATGAGGATCTTCAGGTTAACCAAATCCTGGATCTGGTCCGCAATGGTCTCCAGACGGTTGCAAGCCAGATGGAGGAAAACCAGGCCCTTCATGCTGTAGACGCAGGCGGGGATGTGTGTGATGCGGTTGTGGCTGAGATTGAGTTTGGTCAGGTTGCGCATGGCCGCCAGGCTGCCGGGGAGGCCCGTGATCTGGTTGTTGGCCAGACTGAGCACCTCCAGGCAGGTACAGGAGCCGAGCTCCTCTGGGACCTCGCTCAGGCGGTTGCGGCAGGCGAAAAGCACGCGCAGCTTCTTCAGGAGGCTGATCTCCGCCGGGAGGCTGGACAGGTTGTTACCCCACAAGTTCAAGATCACCAGATTGTCCAAAGCGCCCAGAGCAGGGGGCAGAGAGCACAGGCAATTCATGGACAAGTTTAGCTTTTGCAGCTCTCGCAGCTCCCAAAGCTCAGAAGGGGTTTGATCGAGGGCCCGCATGGCCAGGCTGAGGGTGCTGTAGCCAAAGTGCACCGTGGTGTTTCTACGGATCCTCTCGGCAGCCGAGGAAAGGCTGGGCTGGTCGTCTCTCCCGGATCCCTTCCCGCTTTGACCGGCACTTCCGTCGTTCAGCTCCTTGCTGGAGAAACTGCGAGATTGCCTCGCGCCCATCGTGATTCTGTCAACCTATAGCGAGATGTTAGCCTGCAGTTAGCTGATCACCAACAACAAGAAGACCACTATGGCCGATGGCTGCTGATGGATCTCCAACGTTCTTGAAACGGCCACGCAGAGCATGATCAGTCCCACGCGTTGTCGCCGACGTGCTGACGGTTTGGCCGAATCCTGACTGCGTTTTATCTCCTCGAGAAGACTCGCAGGTTGCTGTGTTTTGAGCGCTGTGGGGGCTCGTGGTCTGCCTCTGCCGGACCAACTGCCTGTCTTACTGGATTTCATACCCCAGCTGGTCCTGTCACTTTGCATGTCCGCAGATAGCCCCCTGCTCCCCTCCCACTACTGCGGGGCCGAGCCGGGGATAGGATGCGGGGTGAGCTCAATCAGACGACGTCATTGGCGCAATCACACGACGAACAGCACGGAAATACACAGCCGCTCACGTGGTGCACATTATACTGTTAACTACACCTGTTGTGTTCTCTATGTGTATTGCATCGTGCAGCTAAAATAATTGAGATATTTGAAATACCAGGGCTGGCCAACCCTAATCTTTCCATTCTTTTTTCCCGTGGTGTCGGTCGCTGATCTCTTGAATGTGGCACCAAGCCGGCAGCCGTTAAAACACTGAATCATCTCTCAAAAAAGCCACAGTTCTTAAAGGTATTAGTGGAACTATATGCAGAGACATGTGCTAGTATAATCTCAAGTGCAAAAGGACATGGAACATTCCGTTGTGTTCCTAGAAAACTCTGCTGCTATTTCAAATCTTATTCATGTGGCGCCGAGAGGACAGTCTCTCTTTGTGTACACGTGTTCACTGTAGAGCATTTGCATTTTTGAACTTGTCTTTGCCCGAAGCAACTTGCACACTGAGGCGAAAAGTTCTTCACGCTTGTTTTCTGAAGAGTTTTGTAAGTACCTGAATGCTTTTTGCTTGTCATTTTAAAATGTAAAATATCATTTTAGAACATAAGATTACTACCGTGTGCGTTTGCCTGATCAGGCCACAGCCATGCGGCGGTGGAAATATCCCATCATGCATCTGTTCAGAGGCAGAGACATCTGGACAAATACATTCACACCCACAGTACCACAGGGAGTATTTCCATGTCCTGCTACTTTATACACCTATTACACTGTGATTCAGAGCATGATATTGTCTTGTGTCAATTGAAGCAGACTCATCCCAAATGGTTGACTCCATCTCAGCATTAAACTTGCAACGTTCAGGACAGATATACAACAGCTAATGGCATGTTGAACCAATGCTACGCCTTTTTAAAACTGTTTTTAAGATAGATTTAGTGAGGTATGTCAATATTAACAGCAACGTTGATGTTGTTTCATTAAAATACTAAAGTATTATCGTTATCATTGTGCTCCCTCCACCAGTGTCCATTTGAACAATAGGAGGATAACCGCGGTATCTGGAGGAAAACTTAGCAGCCTGCACATTGTAGAGCCCAAGCCAGCCTGTTTTGAAGTAATGTCCCTCCTTGTGTGAGGCAACAGCGCTGAACACGCACAGAAGTCAAGTTGTTTTTAGCTCCACTTTAAAAATGGGTTTGCAAAGAGTTTTACAATCATGTTACGCATTCTACCCTTACGGGTTGAATTCAGATAAAGCAAAAAGAAAACTGATAGACGTAAGACAGAGCAACAGAGGACGAACCACCCTTGCAGCATAGATAGACATTTAATAGACATGTACACCGTGTACAGTACAGAGTGTACACTTAGCTCCTCTGCCATACTGCTAGTACTGTGCACTGTAACACGATTCAACCCTGTTAACATGATAATCCTTTATTTTGATTGTTACAGTCATACCTTGATACTCTACTTTCACTTTTGTATTCCCCTCTATGGTATGTTTTATTTGGTCTGTTCATTGGGATTGTTGACGTTAGTTTCTCAAAATCAACAATGTACTTCAAATTTATTTTTATGGCACCGATTGTTTTTTAAAGGGGTGTCAGTCAAGCAAGATTTTTACGATGCGCAGTAAACAACATATATAGACTGCATGTTATCAGTGTAAATGGGAACTTGGAATTGATCCATTTTCCTGGACAGAATCATAAAGTCTGACCAGGACTTGGAGTGGCCTTAGTCATCGTTCTTCTCCCAGCCCAGTAATCAAAGTACCTGGATGACAGTTAGCAGTGATATCCAGCTCTGGGGACTCTGTGGCTCCGCTCTGAGCACGGCTACATCAGCACTTATGAATGACGGGTTGAATTGGTCACCGGAGGGGTCGGGCTGTTGGGGTTGCATTGCCGATTCCGGCAGCTGCTTGTGCAGCATGTCTCTTTGGACAGATTGCATTGAATGTTGACACATTCATATCTAACTTTGTGTGGAAACTGTCTTCTAGCTGACACTTTATCACAAAGTCACAACCCCGAGAATGTGCAGTTCTCGTGTATATGTGTGCTGCGCCTAATTTCACAAACAGCAGGAATGCTGTATCCTGCCATCCTCTATTTATATGAAAAATGACACCTCAGCTGTAACCATTAGAGCCCTCCCCCCCAGTGCAAACACATCCCCACAGTGGCAACATGAGGCTCAGAACACATGCTGTCAAACATGCAGTAAACTCCTGGCTTCGTATGCATATCAATCTTTGCGGCTTAATTGTAGCACTGCAAAGAAAAGCTAAGATGGCTTGACGGATGGAGGTGGGATGGAAGCTGGATGGGTCGTGGATGAATGGACGGAGTGAATAATGCTCATTTCTGTGATGGAGAGATGTCATCATGACATACTTCCCCATAACACACCGTCACCTAGCACTCCGTCGTAATCCTGTGAGGCACACATCTTCATTTGGTGCTGCTTTTTTATCCCGGGCATGTTTTTTTTTTTGTTCTCCAAATGAATCTTACTTTCTACCGGAGGAACAGATGTGCAGAAACAGCTTGAGCTTTGATTTACAAGGAAATAGGATTCACCAATCCTATCGGTTTCACGACACCTCCATACAGAGTCCCATTAGAACCAAATGAGGATGAGTTATTCACTCTGAGAACAGTTACACCCTCCAGTCCTCAGGGTGAAAAAAATGGTCTCATTTGAGAAAGCTCATCTGCTTATGTGGCACTATAATGACTCTGGATGAGCTACCTTTAGAGACCCAGGTTCAAGATATATACCATTATCACTTGCTCATTACTGTGGAGGCTCCCAGGGCTGACACATGATATATGGCCCCGCTGCCACCAAATCTGCCCGTAGGTGTCTCTCCACTGTTGAAATGTAAGGAGTACCTGCCAAGACCTGAGGCTCTGTCGACTCCATATTGCAGACCTGCTCCCTGAAGCCAGCACTCATATTGAAGAATATGTTCCCTCCTCAGACAAAAAGCAAGACAGGATTAGATCCAAGAGACAAGAAAGATGCATTTTGCAAGCTTATTGAGTATTCCAGACCAAATTAGTGCCATGAAATGAGACAGAGCATGCGAATGGGGTGGATGACGAGCCACCTGAGAAGATAATCGTCTATTATTCAGCAGGTGCAGATGTGAATATTCACACCACTGGACACTTTCCACTTTCCTTTTGTGCACGCGCGCGCATCCCCCTGGCTAATGGAGCCTGCGGAAGCAGCCCTGTATTTTAGTCAAAAATTGAGGACATGTCAAAAATTTGATTTGCCATCTGGAAATTGGCTGCAACAGTGCTGGGCCCAGATCTGCAGGTGACACAAAGGATCTACTTAGCAATGCAAATTAGTGGGGAGGAAATCTGAGGGAGTGTCCAACAAGTCAGTTTGGAGACTGAACACGAGGCCAAGAACATTTCACTGGGGTTGCCTCTGGCTGTTTGTGCAAACTGTCGCTATGGTAATGACTATTAATCAAGGCAGTCTTATTAAATTCAAGCCTACCGTGAAGACACATTGGTGCTAAAAGCACAAACACAAATACATGACCATTCTGCAGTATTTTTCACCTCCGTATTAACTAACTCAAGCACCTCCGCTGAGTATCTGGTAATCTCCTAATTTCTCTCCCCAGGCCACAGGCCAGGTATCTGTAGTTAGATCTGCAGCGAAGCAGCCAGATTCATCTTCAGATAAACTGGGACAACATGACGAATAGACAATAAAGGCACCCGGGGGAGAGAGCTATCCGGGTTAACTCCGCCGCATAAAGACACTATTTGTGATGATGGCTGGAATCAACGGGGAAGTGCAGTGAGCAAAGCTGCGCTCCAAAGTGACCAAATCAAGTCCCGACTTTGCTGATGCAGCAGATGGGGCGTACGAACCAATTGTGGCTGTGACAACAACCGGCATGGGTGATGAAGTACCAGCGAGCAGCCTATCTGGGTCTCACCTGCTCACTGCTTCTCCAACAGGCCACTGAGTGTCGGCCAGAAACAGTTGGTACAGCGAGCGCAGTCGCATAGGAATCATGATGAGACAAGCCGTCAATGCTTTGGGACGCCAACGAGGTCCATCGATTTGTATGAGCCTGACCTCGTCACTCCCTGAAAGCTCAGCAGAGGCCGAGGAGGGAGAGCAATGAGCAATGTAAAACAATCAGAATCAGAATATATGTGAGTGTTTTTCTTAATGTACACAACAAGTGCATTGGTGTGGCGTGCACAGGGTGCTGCGGGGAGAGCGGAGGGATTCATCTCCCAGGTCACACGTTCAGATCTACGCTGACAGTGACGATATTTACATGTTGAAAAACTATACTTAGAGGCAAAAAAATTCAAAGATACAGATAGACTGAATGATTCGTGTCCCAGATTTTTCCTGACCTGGATAATGTTAAGTGTTGATCATGGTGTCAGCCTGCCGAAAGAAACTGATATTGCGTCTGGCAGTTTTTCCGTACATTGCTCTGTAGCGCCTACCAGAGGGAAGAAGCCGAGTCCAACATTTTGGACTCGGTTTTCAGTCGAATTCATTTTTCCTTTGGTTGTATTTCCAACAAATTATTTATGTGTTTCTTATTTTACATGGCTGAGTGTCCAAATGTGATCTCACTATAAAATGTTTGGAACATAGTCCCAAAAGTCCAGACAGCCACGCTCTACAGATCGTACACTCGGTTTGTGGCTCGGGTTCTTACGTGATGCACCGCCAGCCAACGGAGTCTGGGACTGACTTGGCAGCAACGCCATTGTTACTTCAAAAAGCCATCTTGGAGTATTCTGGTTCCAGACCACTGCATCGCTGCCCATATGTTGACGTGAGTGACAATTATGGAAAATACCAACGAGCTTAAGCGGTGTGTCAGGTGTGTTGGAGGCACTCATATTTGGACCACAAGCGGCCGCACGCTTTCAGCGCGAATTGCATCACTGAGGACCTTTTCAGCTCATGTCACCGAAACCCGAAACAATGGGATCTGACTAGCTCTGTTCCAGAAATTAGGATGCGTGCCAGGCCGTCACTGCCAGCAAGACATTAATGTTTCATGTGTGGCTGATATGGTAATCATTGGATCCCTACAATGACACCTTGTGAGAGTTGGATAACGATGGCTGTCTTTCAGGCCTGTGGGACTCTGGACTCGGTCCAACAGCTGAGGCACAGCCTGAACTGTGAATGTGCCAGTTAAAAGGGCTGCAACGCACCCAGCAGGTAGAAAAAGTCTCAGAAATTAGAGAAATGAAAGTGCAACGGGTGTCCTCGAGCTATAATGCAGACACGCAGCCTCCCTTTGTGGCATTTGTGGCACGCAAATGCACTCCTCTGGGTTAAATATGCATTGGGTTTCACGAGGTTCCGCGAGTGGGTCCAGGTGCCCGTTGGTGGCACGGACCCAGCTGGAGGATGTGGTTGACTCGCTCCACTGGCGCTCGGGCTGGCATACTAACAGAGCCAGGGGTGCTTTCACAGCGAGTTGAAAGAGGCTGGCGCCGGAGCCTCGCGCCCAGGGTTCAGAAACACGAGCTCCAGCTGCATGTCCGCTAGCTCGCGTAGCCAAAGAAATGGGAGGCTGCAGAGCTCAAGTGAATGTTTTTTTAAAAGTGCAACGTGGCAAAAATAAACATTCGCCATCGACCGTCTCGCGAGATTCTGTGAAATTAATTGCTGGGGTGGAAAAAAAAAAAGAATTTTCCAATCACAAGAGACGGACGCGACAAAAGGCCGACATGTTGAGAAGAGCTTAATGTATTACTTCTCTGAGGCACGTGTAAGCCTTTTATTAATATAAAACGATCTTGTCAGACACCTGTTGTTGTTGTTGCGAGGGGGAAGGGGGGGGGGGGGGGGGAGAGGGTTTCCAGTGATTGCAGGCACCCTTCAGCCATTTCAGTTGAGCTATTTTCTTTTTTTTTTCTTCCATTTTTGACACCCAATGTCACGCAGAACAAATCGCCTATTGCTGACACCAGTGATTTCTTGTCTCCAGCACTGAGAAGCGTGTGTGGAGGCAAAACAGTTGGGTCTTAGAGACGGGGAGTCGGACATTTCTGTGATTAGGTGGTAATAGCTCAGGACGTGACCGGGAAACAGGGGACCTCATTGGTCACATGCCATGGAAAGCTGCGCACCCTTGGATCTATGGGCTATTTTTGAGACAGTATATAACCACCTCAAGAGTTTGGCTCCAAAAATTGCAATTTAGGCTGAATGGAAAAACTATATGGAAATGTCTGCAAGATTTTGTTTTTTTTAACCAAGTGCATCATTTTTATGATTTTGCATGACTCAAACTTGATTGACATACTTGAGTAATATTCGTAGAGTCTGCCTGTGGCTCGACCCACTAATTGAGGCCTATGGTATTGTTGCATGCCTGCGGCTGTTTGCAGGCCACAGTTATATTAAGACCTGGATATTTTAACATCTATAACGCAAAACACTATCAGCTCATAATCAGGGATGTACTGTATTTGTGAGGTTGATGAGGTTCCACTGTTTGATGAACAGTGAAAATGCTTACTCAGTTTGAAACAAATACAAGAAATGGATGGAAATAAACAATAATTATAAGGTGCTGTTTTGGCTGAAATACACAACAGTTTGAGCATTGACACACTTACTCGACTGGCAGTGTGAGTGCCTCCTGTGAGAGTCATCAATGGTGTTATGGGGACATCTACTGGCTAACATAAGATAGATGGATGGATTTATCCTTTATTTATCCACAGAGGGAAATTTGTTTGTGGCAGGAAATTTGTTTGTGGCAGTAAACAAAATACATTCTGTAATGAAAAATAAAAATCTCTCTCTCTCTCTCTCTCTCTCTCTCTCTCTATATATATATATATATATATATATATATATATATATATATATATATATATATATATATATATTCAATTTAAGAAACTTTAATAATAAAGAAAATGCACAAAATCGAAACATCATACAGTGGATGAGAAGCATTTACCGTGAAATAGAAGTTAAAGAACAGCTTTTCTACAGTAAATCTATTTCAATCCTCCTAAATATTGATTTTGTGTTTCTGTGCTCTGAGATCTAGTTCTAGCTCTAGTTATCTCATGATAATAGTTTTTTCTTAATACTTTCAACACGTTTGTGTCTGTTGGTGTTCCAAATATTCAAAAAAATAACACATATTGATAGGAAATATGTGATAATCACACAAACTGCTGTATAAGGGTCCACTTGACACCCGCAAGGAGAAAAATAAATCAACTGTTTTACACAAAATGACTGACACGTCACTGAAGCAAAAGTACAAATACCATATTGGATTATTGTGCACCAACCATGTGATGGGAAATTAAATACATTTTTACTCATCTTGGCAGATTGGAGTGAAAGTATACATGGGGATGAAGGCCGGGAGAAGCAGATGCTGTGTGTGGCTTCGGTACAGAACAAGGGGGCGACCATGTGTGTGGATCATTCCTGGTCAGTAAGGACTTGGTTGTCACTGCTGCTGCTGCACTGTGCCAACTTCCCCTTTCTATCTCCCAGCAAAATGTTATTATTGTCGTTTAAGGTTTTAAATGATTTTCACCACACGAAATATGTCCCAATTTTAGTAAATGTACTAATAACCTCTGTATAATCTTATTCAAGGAACCTACTGGTGTTTTTCTCTGCACCAACAATCTCAAGAGGGTTGATAATGGAGAAGAAAAAGAAAGAAAGACAATTTAAAATTGTATTTTATTATGAGCCTCATATTGCAGTAATTATTTGTTAAATGGAAGTGTGATGACTGAAAAGAAGTATGTTAGGAAATTAGAAATTATGTGTTTCTTCCATTGTCTGCGAAGGCCGGACTTGACAACAAAGTACAAACAGTACAAACAATTCCATCTCCAAGATCTGAAATGAATATGAATGAAAAGAAGTAGCTGTGGTAAAGTTGCCGATGAGCTGGGAGTCGATGGTTAACCTCTAAGTCTGTTAACAGAAAGTAAGTAGCACAAATTAACTTACTGACCTTACGCTACTGACACAGATATAATAAATGAAACTGATTTGTAAAAAGTACTGGTGAAGGGAGATCCCAAGTAGCACATACTGCAAATCAAGAACACCGCAAAGTCATTTATATAAATGTACTTAGTTACTATCCACCACTGTATATACTATTTCTATAGGAAACATTGATGTTTTGTTGATACTGAAAATGTACCTTATAGTGATCTTATAGAGTGATAATGGGAATACTATATACAAACTATGGCAACTTTGTATATTTGTAGTGACTTGTTTTATCTTTAGGAAGGTCGTTACAAAACTACTACAACGTGTAAAACGTAAAATTGATACAAACAGTGACGTCTTAATTGTAGCAGTGACGCCAGTAGCCCTACAGATATGAATGACATTGCACCCAACCACCCAGCACCCTTCAATGCGTGTAGTAGCCAATCACATTCCAGGAAGCGGCAGGAACTCTTGACGGAACAGGGTCGTTACCCCATTATTTTTAAAAAGGGTTTGTTGGTTTTTCTTTGTGTTGGCGATTAGGCGACTGGTGATGCTCTTTTTATTTTCTTTCATACTATGGGAAGGAGCCGAGTCCCACGCCACCGACGCCTCTCCGTGCCTCCATGCTTATTTTTTGTGACATGACCTGAAATAACGTTATTTTTTTTCAAGCCGAGAACGTGAAGACCATAATTATTTTTAAAAAGCGCAAAGAAGAAGGACTCCTGCTGGCATCTGGCTGTATGTCGAAGCTCTCCATCCCTTGAATTTGGATGCCATTCCGGTTGGAGGTTGCGGTGCACCCCGAGGACTAGATGCGATAACCTGCACGAGACATGCCGCAGCCAAAATCACGGAAAATAGCCATCCTCGGGTACAGATCCGTAGGTGAGTCCCGACCGGACAACGCGAAACGGAACCGGTGGGACGGCGTCTTTGGGGCCTCAGCGGCCTTTTCGTGTGAATGCAACGTAACGTCCTCCACGCGAGACATTTACGCCTCCCAAAGCTTATTAGACCTAAATTATAGGAATGATGATGGGGCGCCACCTCTCGCGGTGTTTTTATCACATGAGGCCTCTCGCTTCGGTTTGAATGTATGAATACATATATTTTTTCCTTTGTCCTTACTATACGTTTCCATATGATACCGAAGCTGCGTTAGTGTGTGCCATGCTTTCTGAAGGCCGGAATGACCACAAGGATTTGACGCATTGCTGTGCGCTTAATTCTATATTATCAGAAACCCGCCGGAGCGCACTTTGTATGCGGTGAAAGGATGTGCACGAAGGCAAGATGGCACACGCAGATTCAACCAGCCTAAATAATATATTTTAAATATTCCCACAGATATTTGGATAATATTTATTATTGCATACCCACCATATAAAACCCATGTTATTAATCCCATGGTATTCATATCTGTTTTTGATCATTTTGCAGGTTTTGGTTGGTAACTTTGAGTTTGACTCATATTCTGATGATGATTTTATGCTGTGGTTTTCAGTCTTTAATCCCCTTGACTTCTTCAAGATGAATATATCTCGAGCCAAAGTCATTGACTAATCAATATCAATATTTGGTAGTTTTTATTTATAGCTTTCAACATTTGTCATGAGATTCCAATATGTAAAACTTCCCCGTTTACAATATCCCTTTGTGTTTTGCAGGAAAGTCCTCCTTGACAATTCAGTTTGTGGAGGGCCAGTTTGTGGACTCATATGACCCGACAATAGAAAACAGTAAGTGTCGATTTAGCTTGAAATCTTCAGTTTAGTTAGCAGGTGACAGCGTGAACGATACGCACACGCATGAACCAGCTTTAACTGCCTTTAATAGTCCCTCTGCTCTTGACTTTTTTTGACTCTTTATGTATCTGCCTGTTTCCTGTGTGAGAAACTCACATTTCTTGATACTTGAATGTGCATTTCTTTTTTCGAAGTATGTGGGACACCTTTCCTGCTGTGATTCATCAGTCAATCAGTTGTAAAGTCACGTTTGGTTGTCAGTTGTTCGACTGTCCAAAATCACAAATTTGTCTTAGAGAGTTTTACCATCAGAACAACCTATGAAACATGTGCTTAGATGTCCCATTATCCTGTGTGCTACCTCATGTGATGAATTTGCTCAGTTGCCATGGAGATTGTTTAGTTATCATCATGTGACCTAAGGTTGTAGGTCACAATAGGAGTTTTTCATGCAACATTACATTACCGGTCATTTAGCTGACGCTTTTATCCAAAGCGACTTACATTACACTTTAAACCCATGGCGTTTACATTTTTGCCTGGGGAGCAATTAGGGGTTAGGTGTCTCGCTCAGGGACACTTCGACTTGAGACATGGGGCAGCCGGGACTTGAACCACCAACCTTGCGGTTCCCAGCACACCTGCTCTACCCCCTGCGCCACAAACTCCAAGGCTACAACTAACAAATATTTGTATTACAAATAATTATTTGCTTTATGACAGGTTCAAAACTCAAAGTCTTTAATTTAGAAAAGAGGAAATCCTCACATTTGCAAAGCTGTAACTAGAACATCTTTGGCAATTTAGCTGAAAGAATGAAGATTGTTGTTTTTCAATGTGATTTCTCGTTAATTGCTGATTGTTACAGCTCTAATACAGCATCACAATGTCGATGTTGTGTAATTATATAAGCTCCTGTTTACATTTAATCATGTTTAACTTAATGATTGGAGGATGGGAGAGGAACTGTTCTTATTATATATCTTTTTTAATTTTTGATGTAAAGTTTGCTAGTTATCATCAATGTTGTCACCTCCAACGTGCATCCCGATGACTCCAAGACATGATGCCCCAGAAAGAAGAAGAATGATAAGTCAGAATTGCTTCCCAGCAGGTCACACATTCCCTGCAGAACAGTGGCCCTTCTGAGGCCCTTCTGGGGCCCTTTGGAGAACTCAGCCGCTGTCGCGTTTGGTCAAAGTTCAACCTTGCTTGACATTAGTGCAAAAAGTACAAAAATAGTGAGCTTTGCTTCAATGTGTTTAATGTACATTTGAACAAACGAGATGATTCTTCAAACGCCCACACACACACACACACACACACACACACACACACACACACACATGTTTCCGGACTCTCCAGAGATTTGAGTCTAACATTTACCTGTAGGCTGTTTTTCCTTTTCCCGACATGTTTCCTCACATATAGACCCGCGCTTTCGCCAAAGTGTGTGGTCCGTATCTATAAATAATGCCTGGGTGGTTAACATAAAGTGGAGCGTCAGCGAGATGCTGCAGGCAGCGCAATCCCTCAAGTCCTGTAGATAACGCGACCCATCTCCAGGCAGATATCGACATTCCTGTGCGGGATGAACTCAGTGGTACCAAAATGGATCCGTAAGGAGATCCGCGCACCGAAGACGCACTATCATACTGCATAGAGAAGAAGCTGCTGTACGATCCCTATTTGACAAACGTATCTTTTAAGGAAACGTTTCCCCTCCGTCCTTTGAAATGTTTTATTCCTGATTTCGATTATATCTAACGTGTCTTTTCTTTTGACCGTAGCATTTACTAAAATGATCACAATAAATGGACAAGAGTACCATCTTCAGCTGGTAGACACAGCAGGACAGGTATGCCGATTGATTGATTTTTAAAAATGTGTTACTCGCTCCCAAATCCCAAAGCTCGATTTTTTTTAATCCAGACACTATCTTGATGAGAAAGTAGCTCATGTTTCCCGGTGCTCAGAAATAGCCTATCGGAATTCATAATTGAGGAGGTATTCCCTTTAGTTAGACAGATCTTTTCTTTTATTTCTTCTTTTCCAAACCTGTAAATTAACGTAAAAATGTCTCCTCTGTATTTTCCTCTACAGGATGAGTACTCTATCTTCCCACAGACCTACTCCATAGATATCAACGGTTACATTCTGGTGTATTCCGTTACATCCAATAAAAGGTATACTTTCACTTCCCCCCTTTTCTGTGTGATCAGTTGAAGCTTCGCTGAAATGCCAAACAAGCAACTTTCCCTTCTTGTGTTTCAGCTTTGAAGTTGTACAAGTCATCCATGAAAAACTACTGGACATGGTGGGAAAGGTTCAGTGAGTACGGCTCTGTCTTCTTGCTCTGCTGAAGTAGCTGATGTATTATGCATTAATGACAATGCGCCTCGTCCTTTTTTCCTCGGATGCAGAGTTCCGATTATGCTGGTCGGAAACAAGAACGACCTACATATGGAGCGGTACGTCCCGACATTGGCTTTAATTGTACCATAGGTCCACCATAGGCAGTGGGTACACACAGTCATCAATTAGTCTGTGTGTGTGCAGCCCTGCAAACGTGCCTTGTTCAGTCAAGGCAGAATTGAACTCTGCGGCCTTACTCGGAAATACTGATGTGCTTCATCCTGTGGTTTTCCGTTTCTTCTTTAGAGTGATCAGTTGTGAAGAAGGAAAAGCATTAGCCGAGTCCTGGAACGCTGCCTTCATGGAGTCCTCAGCTAAAGAGAACCAGGTAGGAGATCACACTCAGCAGCATTTTATATATTTACTTTATATAATAAAGAGTGTTTGGCGTGAATTTGATGAGTCTTTCCTGAAGGCCATCGGGTGCATCTTTGTTCTTCCCCTCGTAGAACACATTTGTAACAGAAAACCTTTGAGGGCAATTGGTTTGAAAGAGAGCGATTGTATCAAGTTGCATTGTGGGGAATAAGCAGCTGTTCCGGAGCTTGATCTATACTAGGGACCAAAGGTCAGGATATCTCAGCTTCATGTTGTGCTTTTTCTGCTTATATCTGTCGGTTTCCACCGGGTTTATGGAGGAGCTGCAATAAATCACAGCCACAAATCAGGGCCCGCTTTAAGAATCGCACCATAATAAATCCCCTTTTAAATCCTACAATTTATGGCCAGCGTTTGTCAGCATTACCGATTCAAATCACTTTGCGATCTATAACCGCATACCATGTAAAAATGTAACCGTAACCTCTCCCGCACCAGCATCTCATCATGTTACCCCCCTCCCCCCCACCTACGCTGAGCTGTGAGCTGACGAAGCCGCTCTCCTTCTGCTTCATATTGTTGCTATTGTAGACCACTCGGCTGCCCTCTCATGGGCTGCGGTCATGTCAGGAGTAACTCCAGGAAAGTGTTTCATTAAAATAAACTCACGGTAAAGTAATCACAGGTGTTGCAAATGGATTTAACGACTTTGTGTCACGTAGAAGGCGAAAAATTAGCCGACTGGTTCCCCTCAGCTCTGCGCAATGTTGTTTTGGATGAATGGCCAATCAGTGATTTTTTTCCAGGAACAGCAGGACAGGGATTTTCTGCAGAAAAGCAATAATCTAAACACTCCTGTTACCGATGTTATAGAGACTGCAAATGAAGGCCAATGCTGCTGTGTCTTTTAGACGTGTAAATAACCGTGTTCACTGCCTCCAAGGGGGCCAAAAATATCAACATGTTGCATTTCCCTCATTTCCATTCAGAGAGATTGATTTTTGCAACATAGCTATATTCCGTAATCGGGAGGTTTTGTTGATCTGCAAACCACAGCGCTTGGCCGTCTTTAAATGCACATAAAAACAACACCTCAAAGTCTGTAAGGCGTTCAAATGTGTTGACTGAGACATGTGATAGTATCCTGTGTGTGTGCTTCCTTTCAGACAGCCGTGGAAGTTTTCCGGAGGATGATCCTGGAGGCAGAGAAGATGGACGGCGGCGTGCAGCCAGGAAAGACGTCCTGCTCCATGATGTAGAGCCGCCCAATCAACACACAGGACACTGCACTGGGATATCCCGTTACTTGAAGGCTAGCTGCCAGTTCTCCTCCACCTCCGCTGAGTCCTAAATATCCAACACTGTCTATTTATGGCTCTGATTCCCACTGTTATTTATCAGTATTTCTACACCCCCCCCCCCCCTCGTCATCGTCATTTTTCTTTTGTGTGTTTGATAAAGAGAAGAAAAAAAAAGATTTGTGGCGGTTCCCCTGTCTTCTATTTCCCCATAATCAAACCCTCGTCCATCTCTGTGTTCGGCTCTGATGCCAAACACAGAACTTGTATCAGAAAAAATGTTTCCCCGTGCTCGATTATAACGACTATAGTAACTAAGGCCACAGATTGGCTTGATGCATCTTAGCTTCTACTTACGCAGCTTCCATCTAGGCAACACGTCCTTCTATGTTTTAAATAAGAGATAAGGGAAATGTAATGTGGGCCATGTATGAGCTCTGAAAATAGATAAGTAATCATGGACGTTTCTTCTGATACATCAGCAGCTGTTTGGTCTCTCCCATGAATCCTAATTGACCTCTTTTTCTACTTAATCTCCACGCAGCAGCCACTTCTCTGTCCCTCAGTTGGTTTTCATAGCGGTTACTGTCGGCCCCCTCCCCCCCAAAAAATCTGCATCCATTTTCTAATGTTGAAAATGTTGTACAAATGTTTTTGATTGTAATCATTAAAGCAAAAATTGGTTATGTAAAGAAGGGTCGAGTGTGGATTTTTACCGGCTGATAAGTACGATTTTTGTCCCCTGAGAGGCAGAGCAAGTTTATTTTGTTACCTGTATAACAAATACTGTAGCTGCATGGCTTTATAAGGATAGACCCTGCGTATTGCACAAACTGGATAATGAGCTGAGATTCAGTAAAAAAAAAAAAAGCAATACTCAAATTTTAAAGTGTTGTATTTATTGAAACCTGTTGAATAATAACTAAATGCCATTTTTCCATCTTGTCATTTTGAACCATTAGCGTACCACTAAGGGATGACCTGAGATGTTTAAAAGAGCACACAAGACCTCTAATTTGCATATTGCTGCTACATTAAAGACAAATAAGTATTTATAAAGTATTTTCTTCCAATGAGTTTCACTGCTGTTTGTACTGATATTTTTCCATGATAGAGATTTTGCGCCCCCCTCTTTTTTATCCCCCTACTCTCCATGTTCGAATATGATGTTGTTACTTGTGTTCCAGTTGAACTTTGAGGTAGGTTTTGGTCGTGAATATTAAAAGTAATTAAGGAATGGGGTGAAAGGTCAGTGCAAAGTCCTGTGGGAGCATGAGCTCTGAAAGCGCTGAAGCTGCCTGAGCACCTTTGTTAAAATAACCCAACCTGCTGAAAATGAAACTGTTAACTGAATATGAATCCCCTAACTCGTGCTCTTTGGCCGTAGTATGAAGACTTTGTTATGGACTTCATGTGGATGTCGAAAGGGAAACTTGAGAAGAAATAAGAAGGAGACTCAAACTGCTTTTATTAGTCAGACGATTGACAGAGCAAGTTTAGTTTTGAATTCACACGTGCGTTTGCACCTCTGAGATACTCAACTCATTTCAATAGGTGTTGCACATGTCTTCTGTGCAGCAGTTGATATTGATGTAGGCGTTCATCTTCAGCATTTCGCAGTCTGACAGCGCCATGCATTTCTGAAACTCTCCATCTAAGAAAGATTTTTTTTTTTTTAAGGAAAGTGATTCATGAAAAGTCAATGTGCTGTATTTGATATGGAAAATATTCAATATTCACATCTAGCACATCGATATAGTTTATAGCTACGTGAATGTTACCATGCCCGGTAGTGTTTTGCCACAAGAGGTCTCAAGCACATCTCTTTCTCTACACTTTTTTACAGAACTTCCTCTTCCTCAACCTCCTTATTGGTGCCAGTTTTGGTCCCAGATGACATTCTAGATAAACTCACGTGGTGGTTTGAGGAATCTGGCCGCAGCGCAGGCATCCTTCCCTGGTTTACAGGTCTCTACGGAGAGCTCACAGGCTCCTCCAGCCCTCCTGGAGACACACCGGTGGCAGTCCAGAGCCTCACCTGAAGTAAAAAAAAAAAAAAAAAGCAAACAAGAAGTCATCGCGTGTCGGCTTCTTTGGCCCAGTCAGAATATCTACTATTATATATACTAACTATTGTGGGTTATGAGTTAGATTGAATCTGCTTTGGTGTCAGAGGTGTGATTTAAGCCACATGAGATCACGCTCTCCTCACACGGGGTGATTTTAACGTCTGAGATGAGATGTCCTCCGTTGCCGGAGAGGTCGGCTGATATTGTGTTCCTGAGCGAGTGAAGACTAAAAGATGAAACAGCAGACGTCCCCCCTGCACAGCAGCAAAGGTTGTGTTTATTCAGTGGAGAATCAGTGACATGACTCACCAGCTGTAAACAGCAGGCCGACGGCCAAAGCCAAAACCCAAAACTTCATGGTTCTGTCCAACACTGCAGCCTATGAGAGACAAATCTATCATCTCCTGTTTTTTGTATCAAATATACAGTTGAAATGATGAAAACGTAAATACATGCGCAGTGAAATTGAAATCTAAAGGCATAGTAAAGAAATGTCAAACTGATATTGACTTGATGTTGATTGTTATTCAACACATTTCTCCCTAAGAATGGCAGGTTAGAGACGCAAACAAAGTATTGTTTCACGTTTTCATACCTTGCTGGTTTGTCTGTGTCTTTTCCTGCCGGCGACTGAGGCGCCTTCATCCGCCTTCCCTCCTTTTATACGCCGTGCATAATTTGGGCCGCCATGGTAACGTGGTGTGAGTGGTGTTTCTCCGTGCACGCCCAGCTCCTCACACACCACGGGTACACTGTGTTCAGGGGTTACAGTTTCCCAATGCTCGGATGAATTATGCAAGAGCTGTTCACCCTTTGTGCGCAGTTTATATCATTTATGAGCTTTTTGCAGATCTTAATGTATGCATTTGTCCCAGACTTAGATAACGATTCATATATTAGTCAGATTTAAACCGTAAGTGGAAAAGAGGATATTTGTGAAAGGTACGGTATGTTTGCTTTAGGTGGCTAATGTCTATGACCTATGTGAGGAGTGGTGGCTGCAGCCCACTGCTCTATAACTATAACCTTGGCAAACAAAGCCTGAATGGACCTGAAGTAGCACAGACTAAAGAAAGAGGGCTGAAAGACCGGAACCGTCTCTCTCAGCTCTCAACACATCAAGTACAGCTTGCACAAGTAGAGGAATATGCTTCCTCTAGTCCATCTTTTAAAATTTGTTTTTACCTTGATCAGATTTTACTGACGACAAATTCCATGTGATATTTAAACCCCGAGAGAGACAAATGTCCGACACTTGTGATCAGTGTAGAGGCAATACTGGCTAATGTGAAATGAAATCATTGATGTCAATAGAATTATCAATAATCACTAAGATAGTTCACAAAATAAATACATAACGGAGAACCACCTCAAAAATAGACTAATAACCAAACTACAAATCATTGAGCGTTCGGAATGGAAGTCGTAAGTTCAAACACCAGCTGTGGACTCGAAGAGGTGTCGCAAGGAGGCCGTGTTTGTTCACCACAGGTGTTCGTTGCGTGTCTGTGGGTAAATCTATATGTGTGATGGGTCAGTAAATGATCAAACACATCTTAGTCGCCACAGTGAGACACGATGGCTTTAAACATGATGACGGGTTGATTGGGTTTGATTCCTCGAGACTCGACGTCCGCTACTGCGGTCAACTCCGTAGATTCGTAGGATTTGAATGCACCTGTACGCTGATATTCGCGATAAACGCAATCAAACGGACATGAGACAACACCCGGTTTTCAAAGTAAGATGTCAGCAAAACGTGATGGGAATACGATTTAATGAATTATGTTTACATTTAGTATAAAACATGTTAGCTGAATTTAGTGAGTAAAGAGAAAATTCAATTTAAAAATCACAATTAAGTACACATACTGAAAATTGAGTGATTTTCCAAAGCAAAGGTGCTCCATTTGTATACACTGAACGTTTTGATCAAAGCTATTTCAGCAATATTTCCAGATAATGGTTCACGTATGTGCATTTTGTGTATTTTACAGGTCATTTAGCTGACGCTTACATGACATTTTTACCCCATGGTTTTTACATTACTTGCCCAGGGAGCAGTTAGGGGTCAGGTGTCTTACTCAGGGACACTTCAACATGGGACATGGGAGAGTCAGGATTCAAACTGCCAACCTTGCGCTTCCCAGTGCACCCTCTCTACTCTGTCGACATCTCTGAGTCCAATTATGCTGAACATGAGTTTTCCAAAATAAAAATCCTAAATTTGTATCCTCAAAAATCTCATTTCTGAATATTTGAGATAAAAGGGGTTTTCTCAATAATTCCAAACAATGACTGATGAACATGTTATTCGGGAGACAGACATCTCTGAGCGAAAACATTTTACTGTACAAATAAAGAGATTTCTTTTTAAAAACTTGTTTAATTATCACTTAAATATTTAAGGTTTTATAAAATCACTTTTCTTAATAATTCTAGACAATTATTGGACAGATGTGTATGTGTTCAGGACATCTCTGACTCTGAATAAAACATTTTTACTGTACCACTTGACAATGTTCTACATTTGTACAATTGAAAAGCTAATTTCTGAATATTTTAGGTGTTATGAATATACCTTTCTCAACAATCCCACACCATGACAACTGTATATGTGTTAAAGTCTTCTATAAAACTGGTGATTTTTGATGTTCAGAACAGGGAGATTCTTCACGGAAGAAGGATCCAGGGATCCCGCCTGGATCAGCATCTGACAAACAACAACAGAGAGTGATCTGCGAGGAAAGGATCCGCTTCGGAGTAGGTTATCTGTGCTGCTCTGCTCGTTCTGCTCTCATCAAAATCCGGACAAAGAGATGGGAACACCCATCGTTATCTTCTACATTCTCACAGCTACTTTCCCAATTTGGGACCAACTGAGGGATCTCTGGTTGGGTCACACACGTCCCTTCACATCTGCCTAAACGTTCCTTCTCTGTTTATGTGGCTGCCTTTGCTCCCCTTGTCGGAACACCACCCAAATATTATTCTGCAAACCAGACCAATCTCTCCCCCCACCCCTTGCATTGTTTCCCCTCCCTGAGAGCCAAACTCCAATATCAGCACTGGGACATGTAAGGGAAAGTGTCCATGAGGCAAAATGTCTAAACCCCCCATTGTTGTGCCTTTGTTACCTTCGCCTCGCGATACCACCACCCTCTCTGTCGGCCATATATATCTGGGCGCCCACATTTTTCCACTCTTAGACTGTGCGACTAGTTTGGAACAGCTGACAGTGGAAAATGTCTCAGTACTCAGGAAAGGTGAGTACCAAAACAAGGGGAGCGTGACGCAAACGTAACCATGTGAATTACCAACAAATGTCCGTCTCAAGCGTAGAGCGGAATATTTCCCACCGCTCACAGCACTTTCTATACAAGCATTTGTTAGGCACAAAAGTGTTTGAATCTTCACTGCTCGACAGATCGTGTTCTATGAGGGAAAATGTTTCACCGGGAGGAAACTGGAGATCAGCAGCGACTGTGACAACTTCCAGGACCGGGGCTTCATGAACAGGGTCAACTCTGTCCGGGTGGAGAGCGGGGCCTTCATCTGCTTCGACCACCCAGACTTCAAGGGCCAACAGTACGTTCTGGAGCACGGAGAGTACCCCGAGTTCCAGCGCTGGAACGCCCACAATGATCACATGGGCTCCTGCAAGCCAATCAGGATGGTAAGTGTGTGGGCGTGCGTGGGTGTGTTTGTGTGTTTGTGAGTGAGAGATAGAGTGAGAAAGAGAGAAAGAGAGACAAATATTTAGTTGTTTAAAAAAAAAAAAAAATTCAGAAGCCTGGCTCATCAATTCACATCTGTTTTTCAGATATTATAAAGAAACATTCCAATAATGGTAGTTCATAATAACTCCTGAATTCCTCTTTTCAGTGCAGAGGCATATTAACAGCTCGAGCCTTTTCACCTCACATACACTGATACCGTCACTTGAAAGAAAATCACTAAGAAGTCTTGAGACATACTTTGTAGACTGTGGGCTATACATATTGCCCTCCATGAATATTTAACCTCTAGATATCAATTGGCACAACAGTTAGTGCACTCCATGGAGTGCCTGTAAGAGAAAACCTTGATCCCCGGCGGTGGAAGGCCAAAAATGTCAGCTGTAACTCACTGAGAGGATTTTTCATTGTCCCCCCCCCCCCCCCCACCAGCATGGAGAGCACTACAGGATGGAGCTGTTCGAGGGAGACAACTTCTCAGGCCAGTGTGTGGAGCTGTGCGACGACTGTCCGTTCCTGCAAGCACGAGGCCTGACGAAGAGCTGCATCAACTCCATCAAGGTTTATGGAGATGGAGCGTAAGTGTCTCTGCAGCACGGGGGACATTTTGTCACATTTAAGCGCTTACATCTGCTGGAATAGTCTAGTTTATTGTAGTTCAGTGATGGACATCAGTGACAGTGAACTACACGGCCTACAGATAGCATTCTATCAGGCACAAAGAGCTTGAAAATTTCCCCGTTTAACATCTGTTTTAACGTCATTCGTCTGTTCTCACAAACAGATGGGTTCTTTATGAGGATCCTAACTACCGCGGACGCATGTACATCGTGGAGAGAGGAAACTACTGCACCCACATGGAGTGGCAGGCGGAGAACCCCAACATCCAGTCTATTCGCAGGGTGGCAAACTATTTCTAAAGCATCTCACCGTCACAGGCAATGTGCAAGCAGAGACAAAGTCAACCAGCGGGGGAGAACACACCGCACTGTCAACAAACCTGCTGTTGACTCTGTGGGGCTATAAAATAATAAAAGATAAAGCACATGTTTGACATGGCTTGTTGTTTTATTTTTGTACGGAATACTTCGAAGGCTGAAATAAAGTAGTGATCCTACAAAACCTTCAATGGCATTTCCATTTTATTTTTATTTTTTGTTAACATTCGTCCCTGAGTGTGGAACTGTTGACTTAAACCGCCATGTTGCATTGCAGATGATTCACGTTATTGTTGTCTCTTAAAGGCCATTAATAGAAAACCTTTCTCTCTTTCTAATGGCTCTATTACCAAGTTACATGAACTATACTCTGAATACCTCTGAACACAAATGAATAAAAGGGTTGAATATTTTATTTTAATGGGAAATTCTGGAAATAAAACTGACAAAGAAAGAGAAAAGCAGTCACTCAGCCATCATACAAGTAAATGTCTGTCCGTCAGCAGTAAATGGTAGAAACTGTGCCCCCCACCCACCACCATACACACACAGTTAGAAATCAGGAGTAAAGGGGAGATATTTAACGGGTTGAAGCATTATCCGTGAACTCCCCGGTAGCTCTGCTACCCCCTAGTGTCATTTATCTATTTCCTCGTGAAGTCGAGACTTTCACCGCAGGGTTTTCTTCGTATTTGCAGTGTTAACATTCAGGAGCATGACACGAACACATAAACATTGTTGGATGGATTCTTTCCAAGACGAGACATCGTGACATAATGCACACAACAGGTATTTAACGTCACATTTAACACCCTTTTACAACATAATTAGCTCATATGTTGATGTTTTTTTATGAACCACTGCATCATCCCTCCCAGTGCCCTCATTCTTTTAGGAATGTCACACCATGGTTGCGACCAGTGGACCTTTAATGAGCACTCATGTGCTTTCTCCTGCAACTGTCATGACAACAGAACACCTATCTTTACACGGTTTCACTGTTGGCCTCTATCAAGTTACAGGGTCAATACGGGATGGCTTAATGAGGAGATGCTTGGTCTTGAGTTACACTCGGTGGCACTAGTTTGAGGGCGATTACCTATGGCTAACCTCATTCCTGGGCCATTTGCCGCATGAATCGTCTGGGTGTCACAGGCATGCTATTAGTCAAAGACGAGGGAGAGAGAGAGGGAATCTGAGCGAGGCTTAATGGCATTTCGACAAAGTCATTGCTGGTTCAGGACAAAAAAATGGGAATTCATCTTTTACACAAAGGACCGTTTTGAAAGAGCTTTTCTTGAACGCAAAACAAAGGAAACCATGTGTAGTGATGTTGTACTAGTATTATTAAAATATATATGTTATGTAATGAATAAGCCCTTATTATTTGCTGTAGTGGACGTGTTTTTTCTTAAGTGAGGAGATTACAAAAGCGAAGCATACCTAATTATTGGGTATTATTAGAGGATAATGACTTGAAACGCAACCCTTTTGAGGGAAATATTTCTGAAAGCGGTTGTCTGTTGGCTGGGAGACGTGGTGAGTGGGCAGGCTGACCACTCCTCTGTCACTAACTAAAGTAATGTTACAATTCAGAGAGCAGAAAGGAAAAAACGTTTTGAAATTTGGCAATATTGTTCACACACTTCCTGTTGTGTGTTGTGTTGTTGTGTGTTATAAAAATAATAGTTAGTGCTTAGTTACATTCATTGTGAGCCATAGTTTGGTTCTATTTTGGTGTTGCTGTGTGAGATATATTTTATATTTAACACTGTCTGGCGGAGGAATACGTTTTAAATAGCATTTATTGTATCTTATTACTCCAAATTGGGTCAGCTATTTTTAGCAACAGGCGCTTATGCATAACAGATCCTTCAGATAGAAATCCTACGAATTTATTCGACAATTTGCGGGTCCGACATACATGTAATAAAGATATACTATATACGTGCAAATGTGTTGTTATACTGCAAATAAAGACCGTGTGCAAAGCCTCCCTTAGTATATACTGGACGGCAGGTAAAATATTAAAACCCTTTAATAACAACCATTTCTTTTTTAAGCTAACATATGTTCGACGGTCCTTCGTGAGACTAACAGCGAACCTTTGATACCAAACAATTGAATTTAAATCCCGTTTTAAATATTTCGACTGGAAAAGTAGACAATAGGAAATACCACCTCTGACCACAGAAAGTGCAAGTGTTACTATCAGCTGGAGCCGGGACAAAAAAACAACGTGGAAAGCAAATATCTTTCACAAACGCCCCGTGTTCCTTCCGATGGGCTATTTTATTTTTTTCTTTAAAAAAAAAATCGTGAAATGCATCTTGCGGCATTGCAAAACCGAGTCGTCGCAGGCGTGAATCTGCGGAGTCGCGTTAAGGTCACACGCTGGCTGCCTGAATTCCCCTCTTTGTGTTTACACATCCGGGTTCCCCCCCTGTTTGCAGCCCATTCCCCATTTAGAAGCCATTTTGGACACAGATCAGTAACATGCATGTAAACCCCGACCGACCTCCCGATGCAGCGGTGCTACTATCCGAGTAAATAACCTCAACAACAACAGCAAAAAAAAAGAAAAGAAGCGCCGAGCTTTTCGCCTCGGACGGTTTTTTTTTATCGGATTCCTCTCTTGTTGGTCGGTGTTTTTTTGGGGATTCGCTTCCGATGTGAAAGGCTGCACGCGCTAGCGGACTAAACCGTCGGGTTAATCGCTGCCATCTCTTTCTTGCAACATTGTTGCGGCGCCGCGGCTATTGACACGAGTTGTGGCGGCGGTGGCGGCGGTTCAGGCCGCTGGAGGGACCGGAGGCCCGTGGTCCTTTTTGATCTCGGACGGATGTTTTCGGACAACCTGAGTTTTAATGTTCGCGACGGAACGCTGGGGAAATATATCGGTGCTGTGATCCAAACGGAACATGTCTTTTTCATGGCTGACTTGTTCACTTCTTCTGGGAACTTTATGCGCAGGTGAGCTGCTATTGTTGGGATTTTGCAACAGTTTTTGTTTCTTTTTTTCCTTTTAACCCCGAGGGAGACACATTTTTTGCGCGTGTGTTTGTATTTAATTATCTCCGTGAATATCGACCGGGGTTCGTTGTTAAAAGTTTGTTGGCAGTGAATCCTGTCGGTTCAACGGTGGCGATTTTACTCTCTTGCACATAGTGTCATTTTCTCTTTCTGCTTCCACAATCCATATATTTCATACACTGGACTTAATAAAAGAATACCCGTGGCGTATTTCTGGTTCTAAATAATAACACTAATCAGATGAACCAAACCAAATTGAATCACGTTATTTCATGCAGGTTAATTTCCCCCCACATTTATATATAACAATACATTTATGTATAAAAAAAACTGTTGCGCCCCCCTCGCCTTTCTTAACTAACAGTGGCAGGAATAGAAGGCAGCAGCTGCATCCACATCGTGAAACATTATCGGCTGTATTCCGGCTCTGCTGCCGTTGTGTCCTCAGCCTCGATTCGAACCCGCACTTCGGACTGAAAACCTGATTATTATTTTCTTCTTCTTCTCCGTAATCGACGTGCGTCGGGTTCGACGGGACAGCAGCGATGTCGCGTGAGGGCAGCTCGCTCCTCCGCGGTCAGTCATCTCGCCACCACGTGAAATTGGGCATGAGCGTTGTTTTCCTTTTTTGTTGTGTGTGATTCTTTTTGCCAACGTTCGCAACTCCTGGGGGAGTTTTTTGTTGCCCCCCCCCCAACCAAGCTATATATATAATATATATATATATGTATTCGAGAGTTCTTTTCAAATCTCAATATCCATCTTTCCCCCCATAACTTCTAGTTTTTCTACGCATTGTAATGTATATGGAGTTTAAATGGAGGCCGAGGTGTCTCATGGCCACATCGCGCTGCAGCTAAAAGCCTTTCTGCTTCGTAGATTCGCACCGTAAGCTGCTTCGCACAGAATCCATGTTGTTGTGGCGTAAGCCTCGGTAAATGGCAGGGAGGGAGGGGGTTGGGGCGGTTGGGGAATGATCTCGTAGTAAAAGTCCTCCCGGATCACGTGACCACAGATATCAGAAATGCCATCTTTGCTCAATGGACCATTGAACGTCTCTGCTGCTGTTTTGCGTGTGTGTGTGTTTGCCCATTGCCACCTTTTCCCCTCCATCCTTAATAACGAGCACCATGTTTCCGATATGCTATGATGAAATCCATTGTCTGCTTTTCTGGACAACTAAATGCTAGAATGTGTAAGTAAATCTGTGTGTGTGTGTGTGTGTGTGTGTGAGAGAGCCCTAGCAATGGGGTTGGTGGGGGTAACACTGGGGGGGATGGGCGGCCTCCTATAGGCAGGGATTTAAAGAGACATGCACTATTTTTTCGGTGAACAAAGATTTGGGATGAAGGTCCCAGCAGCACCGTAAACCAGCTGTTTTAGTGCGCTATCTTCCCCAGTATTCATCAAAAACACACGCTTTGCTCTAGGGTGTCCGACATTGAAATTCACAAAGACAAATGATAACCCCCCCCCCTCCGGCATCGTGTGACAGCAGGAAACTGACGGCTATTGTTATATCTCAAGGCTCGGTGAGGGGAAACTATTTCCTGCTACATGACAGTAAAAACCCTTAAAGCAGAAGGTCTTATCTGGCTTTCCAGATGTGTCACTCCAGCAGGATACAGGAGTCTTGCATCTGTGGAAGTAGCGTCCCGGTTGTGCGGCGAGCTTCTGGACCACACCGGGGGTGTCCCATTGTCTTTACTATGGCTAATTCAATTCTGTCCCCCCCCCTTTTTTAGTCATCACTCGCTCAAAACATCTTTTGCTGAATGGGATTATGTCAAACTACTATTCAGCGGCGGGTTTCTTAGCCCAGAGGAGCGGCCTTCCTTACTACGGAGAGCTGCTAAAGTTGGCCGCGCGCCCGAGTGATGATAGAGGCTTCGCTCTGAGACGCCTCGGCGCGGAGCGGGTCCTCCGCCATATGCCTGCTCTTCCGCCGCTTTAAACTTTTCCAATGAATTTGCGACACCGAGCTGACTGCGGCCTTCTGTCCATCTCAGGGTACAGTCTGGGCGAAGCCGAGACCCGGGAGTGTGTGTACTACAATGACAACTGGCGCACGGAGAGGACCAACCAGAGCGGCTTTGAGCGCTGCGAGGGCGAGAAGGACAAGCGGCTGCACTGTTACGCCTCCTGGCTCAACTCCTCA